CTTCTCGGCTAATTTCAGAAATGAATTTTGTACAGGAGATGGTACGTACACAAATTTGTCTGTATATTCTTGAAAGCTCCTAGACCAATCAGCAGTCGGTTGTTGGAGGAGGAGATGAGCATGAGTTTGTTAAAAATCTACTGACTACGCTGCTCGGCTCCCCCTCTGCCTCAGCTTCTGATGAGGAGGATAGACAGAAAAGGTCGTTCTCCAGTTGTCCCACACACTGTCCTCTCCGAAAGGACAAATTATTTTTTTACTGACATCCACAGACGATATTAAGCTGAATCTAAATCTCAGTTATTCCCCAAGTGGTCCCACGGAGCCAGAGACATTTACAACGGAAGATATAAAAGCTGGGAAGCCGCTGCGAAGGTGATTTGACCAACTTGACTTAATCCTACAATTAAGCAATTACGAGGGACAGCTGCCACCGAGGCTTGACTCAATCTGTCTCCGGCAGAAGATACAGTAATTACGTTTGCAACTTTAGTGTTAATACGCCATCTGCAACAAACTTCATATATATATATTTTTGTTTTAGTTTTTGGCTACTTAAGTAATATGAAATTCTTAGTCCAAATATCAAGCCAAATACCTTCCTCATATCCATAAAAGGTGCCACACAAACTACTTAAAATGCGCGGTTATTATTATAAGTAGCATAACAAGTTCCTATTCGACTTGAAAGCAAACTTTCTCCTTTGTCTACGATAACCTGCCATGGCGAGTGAAAGGGTGATCATAACTTAGGACTGACAATCTGTATCCTGTAGAAAATCCTTATATACCTTTACCGCCCTTCAGTTCCCCAATAAACATTTTTCACCACTAATTTCAATCAATCGACTTAAGTTGTGATATTTGGTCGCTGCATCCACAAGCATCTGCTTGTGTAGTTAATCGGTGGGGTGGAAAATCCTAGGTTGGGCGTAACTGTGGTCGATTTTCTATGATTAGTAGTAGAATGGGGGTCCATGTATGTTCGCCAATGGATTCAATATCAAGCAAGGAGCCCGAAATGAGTGAGAAGGCGAGCACGTATCCCCCTGCGCATTTGTTCGGTGAGGAGGTCAACTGGGCCACATTCGTCCATGCCGCGCCGTAGCCCAACCTTGTGGCCCAACCCTAGCCACCGCCAGCCCAATCGGGCCAGAGTGGGCCAGGTTAGGCTGGCACTAGCAGGGCACACCAACAGTACGTAACCGCCCGGAATCTGTCACATGTTGTGTCTGTGGAGGGGTAGATAGCAACTAGAATGGAGCCAGATAGTGACGTTGCCCAACAAGGACTGCGGCTGACTGGGGATGCTGCGGAAGATCGCTGTGCGGTATAAGTTTCTCCTCCCTCCAGGTCTGTAATACTCTCAAGAAGAGAGAAAGTAAAGAAGACTGAAGACAGAAGTGGACATAATGGGCGATGAAGTTTATCCAACGTATGCGTTGGTTCCAAATTTCAAAAATGCGCCTCATCTATCCCATCAAAGACAGTGTTAAGAACGAGCCCCTTCATCCCTACTCCAATCCTGCGATGGATCCAGAAAATTAGGTATTCGGCATTTGTATAAGACCAGCTTTCTCAGCATGCTGTAACAAGTTTAAAAGAGCGTCAGTTTTATTTTGATGAGGAAATTCAGTGTTTTACCTGTGTGAGGAAAGTCGCTTTAGGGTCGGTTTATCCAATCAGTCAATCTGACCGGAGAGGATTCGATTTGGTGCATGAGCTCACATCCCCAGTTGCAATTCCACCTCAAGGCGACAGCTGTTCACGACAGGCACTTAAACGTTTTAAACAAAAGAACAAAAGATTGAAAAGAATCAGAGAGGCATATGGTAGAACATAACGTAGTATTGAAGAGCACAGACAGCAGATTACACGCAGGCACTAATAAAGGCGCTTGCGCGCGGTTGGTTTGCGGCAAAAAAGGTAAACAGTGATCGCGTGAATGATGTAGCACAGTTACTCAATCACAGAGCTCAAAAACAACATTACGAGAAGTCGCGATGAGACTGTACCCAGTGGCTGTGGGATGCTACTAGAGGTGGATTGAAGTCCCAATGTAATAAGTGGCACATACTTGCTTGAGCTCAGTTTAGATCCAACACAAGGCCACAAACCATGTCAGAAGCCGCATGACATGATATAACTTCCGGCAACTGCATGAGCACACACTTTTATTGCGAAGATAATGCTCCAGGTGTTATGATTCCGTCCACTTCGCCTGCAGCCACTGGCTCGAACACGTCAAAATGACGCTTTCCCGCCACCGATCTGATACTTTCGACGAGGTCTTACAAATCACGTATTATGTACTCCCACTCCGCCACATTCGGCGAAACTACGAACGCATGCTGAAGGCTCAGGTTTGAAAAGTTGAATAACCAGGACTCAGTAAGCGTAAATATTTCGAGAGAGTGCGCAATCTAACGGATTTCCGACGACCACAAAGCAGGACTTGTTAAAATAACCTCTTTATTGGATTGGGGCACCACTTGTTTCGCCGTTGGGAAAGGTTGAGGAGAGCTTTATGGTTCGAATGATTAACAGCAACGTAGAGTTTAAAGGACCTGTCCGTCTTCTATCAACGAGTTTCTGCATCTGCCTGATGAGGCTGACAGGGCTACTGAAGGTCACTATGCAGCCTCCAGGAACGTAAGCATACAGATGTGGTCCCTTTGGCACACAAAAACCAAAAGGGGACTTTCTTAGGTCGATGGACGAATCAAAGTGGAGCCTGCGTGACTGAAATAAAGAGAACAAGCCGTCAACTGAACAGTAACAAGACCCATCAACGTACTTTCTACTCAAAGGTACAAAAACATTCAGCTTCCTACACTTAGAAACTTGCCGCATCTCCTAACAAGGCAAAGTAAGTCACAATTTTCCCCTTAGTTGGTCATGAGATCTCCGTATTTAATTTCTCTCGGCTTAAATCGGGGCCCGGTGCTGAATTCCACCTTCCCCCTCCGACTTCTTGCGAACAAATTTCAACTACACCCGGCTTGTGCTGTTATTTCGAAACCTCTCCTCTATATTTTGGCCTTTATAGCGCAGAGAAGATGGGTAGAGTGATGCTCGAGGTTAGGGCACTTTTCCAGTTAGAATTATGTGGGCGCAGCTTGGTGAGAACGCCCCTCAACAGGTTGTAGTCTCCCATCTCCGGGCGCATGTTGCAGAGCGGAGCCTCTAGCGACTACTTGTGCGTGCGCACCAGGTCAAGTCTCGGCCAATTTTGGCTGTCCAGACTGGCCAATCATCTTCAAGGCTGACTCAGACGTGACCTTGCTGACGGCGCTGCGCGACTGCCCCACGCAAGCGGACGTCGCTCTCGCGGCTTCGGACGTGCCCCTGTCTGACGACCAGCAACCGTTTCTCCAAGAGTTCAGTACAGAATATGTCCTCCCAGCTGGCGTCCCACTTCTTTTCCTCCTGTTCGGACCTGGGTTTGATGGTCGTTGTGGATAGGGTCCCCCTAGGACCTTAGTCGCCGCCGCCGCGATAAGTTGGTGAAGGACGGAACAGGACTAGCTAATCAGCCAATCCGACAACTAATAAAACAGCAGGCGTGCCTGTGAGATTACCTGGTAGCCCGGACAACTGTTCGACTCAGGGTTTGCATGGGAGAACATAGATCTAGGATTACCGGACATTTTACCACCGACCGTGACAACCATAAGTGCGAAGTTCGTGTATACATCAGGGGAAGGACCGCACACTTACCCTGAGACAGGCTAAGTCTGTATGATTGCCAAAGGCCATGTAGCAGCCGCTCCAGTCCCCCTTTTCTCCGGCTCTGTTTTGTCGGTCGATGGCCGCGACAATCGTTGCCAGGCCGCTGACACACATCCACCCGGCCGGCTAGCACTGGGGCACCTGTCCAGCGGCAGTGACCTCCGACTGCCCCAAAAACTATTATCACCTCATGCGCGTCGGACGACCTGGCTTGATACCCGTGAGCCCCTGTAATTATGATTCCCCCCAATCCGTCCAATCTCATGACCAGCACTCAACCAGTCACCCCTACCTACTGACAGACTAACCCCCGCGTAAACGACACATCGCGACTGACGCTCTCCGTGAGCGGATGCTTATCTCTGTTGCAAGCAAACAGACAACTTACGGCAACCTGCCCTGTGTACAGACTAAACTAGTCCTCACAGCTCCCTGATTTCTGACATTAGACGAAACGAACTTATTGTACATGGTTTAAGTTTATCTCACATCCTTTACCGCCACAAATTGGTGATCCCGACGCGACCGCCACAATCACACAAGCACAAAGATCAAACCAAATTGTAGAAGTCAGGCAATCCCTAAGTGCTCCGGAATTTAGCGCTGCTGAGTTCAATCCCAGATGATCAGCCCAATCTGTCTCCGACAAGTGATGTATAATATCTGTTAGTCAATTTAAGTACCCACCCTATACCGACAGACAGTGCTGATTTAACAAACCGCTCCAGAAGATTCCCAAAGGAAAGGAGGACAAACGGCGTGTTCTCTGTGAGACGATACACACGAAAGCAGAACTGGGCGCTCTCTGCCTCTAGCCACTTCCCCAGACATCTAAGGGGTGCAGTTAGTGGTCGAAGTAAAAAGAACACCGGAGCAGAATTACATAGTCTTGAAATAAAAAAAAGAAATGTGGCAACGACAGTAGCAGCGGGTAGAAAAGATATCGCAAACCGTTAATTGGTAAACACCGACTGGAGCATAAGACGTGGGGGGGGGAGGAGAAGGGTCAGGGACAGGACACAGAGGCCAAGTTACCAGGGAGAAAACCATTTTGGGGAAAGGTTATTGAAAAAAATCAGACAGGGATGAGAATCAGGCATTGCCGATGGGGTAGTGGATGTTCTCGGTCGAATAGGTTGATGCAAGTCCCCCTAGGATTCGGGAAACGGAGAAGCCTGACATCATGTTGTTGGCGGCTACGGCAATACGGGAAGACGCAGAGAGGGTGTGGGTTGAGAAAGATGGTCGTTTCCAGAGGTGCTATGCTCTTAGCGTGCATCCATGCGTGCCACCACGCGGTCACCCTCCTCCTCATACTGTTTTTTAGTGATCCAGCAGTCCGTTGATCCCTGCTGCAACAGGCGCGCGAGGATTGATCCACCCAAGAAAACCATGTGTTTGCGCTGTGGCGGGTCTTCAATTCGGATTTTGAATTTCTGAAATTAGGTCAAAGCAGGGTTGCAATACCAGTTTAGGTGTGAGTCGAACTAAAGATGGATACGGAAAAGTCACCCCCTACCCTTACGGCAGGCAGCCGAACGCACAACTATAGCGGCCGACAACGTAGAGGTCGGCACATACACCCGGGTAGTAGGCACCTGCTGTCGATTCCTGGTCGGTGAGAATACTGGACAGGGTTGGTGAGCATCAGGCCGAACACACATGCTGAGGTCATTAGAAGTGGCGTAAACATAGGAAACCCGTTCCAAGACAGTAGCTGTGTAAGTGGGTAATAAGGGTACAATGTAAAGTGAAAGGGGGTGTTACATATACTATGACCCCGTCTAGAATGGGGAGCGTTCTGTCGTGTCTGTTAGATCACCGATGGGAAGTGCAGAGGACGGACGTGGGCATGTTGACTTTGAGGGAGAACACAAGATCTACGACGACGATAACTGCGGAGATGAGGGTCAGCAACTGACACTCCATCACACCGTCTCCATCCTGGGTTCGCTCCCAAGTGTCTTTCACCTCATTTAAACAACCTGTTCAACCAAATGTGCGTTACATTGCCTCCCCTTAGGTGCAGCACTATCCTCAGTACTGTTTGGGTGGGTTGGTGGCGAAGGGGGGGGGGGCGGTGTGTAATCCCCTCCACCCCACCGCTGCCACCAATGTAGCGGCCGACAACGTAGTGGTTAGCACGCACACGGATAATAAACACCTGTTGTTGATTCCTGGTCCGTGAGAATACTGAACTGAGTGAAGCCGACAGGTAACCCGTGTACTTGACAACACTAACACGTCGGATTTCAAACTGTCGTCTCCAGGTGGATGCAACGCAACCACTAAAATTCAGGGTGGGGTATGTCTCGGATACAGGAGGCTAAGACAGTGCCTAGGTATCCGCACGGCGTATGGGGGTAGGTACATTCGAACTGAGTGCCAGTATAGCGACAAAATTACCTCTACAGCTGAGGTTTTGGAAATTTAAATGCATATTTCAGAAGATAGCTCTAAAGCAAAACACAGGTACATAAAATACGTGACGTCAGTATTTTAAAATGTGACTTATAGACAATAATAGGCGCAAATACGCAAATATGCAGATTTACTAAGACCGTGATATATGTCGTTTTAGTGGGTAAAAGTTAGGCATTAATTGACAAAGACATATTTATGTTGTAGGACTGAAGTAGTATGCATTTTTAGGCAATACAAAGAAAACGAGGTGATTCGAAAAAATCAAATTGTACAGTAGACGTGCTAACTCATGAAATATTAACCGAATTCCGAAATGTGTTTTTAATTTGAAAAAAATACTTGAAAAGGGTTGTAATACTAATCGCCTTACAGCATGATCCAAAAAATATGTCAGTCACGTCAGGAAGCCGACTTTCGAACGAGCTTCTTATTGACCGCCTGCATAAACCACAGTCGGCAAAAAGCGACCACTTATGTAGCATGAAATTTCGCCACAGATTTTCAACGCCGTTGTAAATTCAAATGAATTTTGTAGAAAACGTGCCCAGAGATATTCTTCCTTGCAGTCATTCTGTAGCAAACTCAGTCTTCTTCAAAGTTTGTACTTGGCGAAGAAGTATCCTTCAGTTTTGAAGTTTCCGAGATTTTTTAAGACCGTGAAATATCTAGTCATACAGAATTTACAAATTACAACCATTACAAAATTCTATAAGCCTTATATGTCCTCTTTATAACAGAACGTAGAGAGATATGATCTTCCTGCACGAAAGGTATACAGCTTGTAGTTAGAAAACCCTGAATGCAGGTGCAACAGAAGGTCGAGTTCAAAATTATTCGGACTTGAAAAAGTTTTCAAAACCGAATTATACTCCACCTTCGAGTATAAAATTGGAAGAAGGCGTAACTCGCTACCTAATGAACAAGAGAGAATATTTTGTGCATGCTTCCTATAAAATATACTCAAATTCATAAGGGCATCGAAAATCCAGGGGGAAGCTTCATATTGCTTAGGTAGTCACTTCTTGAGGACTGTCCTTTATTAAGGCAGCCAATAAGGAGCTTGTTCGGAAGCCGGCAGCACATCCTGACACGACTGACATATTTTGGGATTATGATACGCGATAACTAATACGACGAAGCTACTTAAGAAATCTTTTCGAATTGAAAGCACACTTCATAATTCCGGCGAATAGTTCATGAGATAGCATATCTACTGCACTGGTGGATTTTCAATCTGGTAAGACCAATCCGTCGTCAGGTGAAATAATAGAGACGAGACCACCAAAGTAATACAGATGAGACGAGTGGGTAGAGGTACGGTAGATTTCGAAGAGAGGAATGGAGTAGAATTACGGCTCGCTGTGTTGGAGAGGAAGGAGGTAGTAGACTAGTGAGGCTGTAGGCGGTGGATGCTTCCTCACATCAATAACGCGTCTTAATGCGTTTAAAGACACCGGAGGAAGTCCAAAATAAGAGTAACGCCCCAAACAAAGACTGCGTTACATAACCAGCTTGTTCACCCTTAGGATGGACTAGGCTATCTGGACAAGAAAGAAGTTGTCCACAAACTTCCGCGCAGTTCCTACAATGCAGTCTACTGTGCTCAAGCGAAGATATGTGCCTCTGCACGTGTTCATGAACATCAATTGGCAGTAAAGGGGCAAGACCGCCTGTCTCAAGTAGTCACGCACAGCCTGGATACTGGGCAAACCTTCGCTTGAAAGAAAATGCACATAGCTGGCGTCTACTCATTTAAAAATGGCCGAGAGTCCCTCGACGCTACCCACTCGGATGAGTCATGCATCGATTGGATGCCGCGTACAAACATTCCAAGTAGAAACGGAAGACGGCAGTCAATCCAAACGAGACGATGATATACGGCGATTGCCCACTGGTGCAAACGCCAGACAAGTATAGGTTTGTAGGTATGTTTAAAACATCTACCGACTTCCTCGTTTGCTCTGTCTGACGACGGCCTGGGGGAAGGGCGTCAAAAAATTGCAGAATAAAGCTGACAACCTTGCGAAAGAACTCGGGTGGCTGACCGAGGATGGTCAACGAGCCAGGAACAGCCATCCTTGACCCCCTTATCCTTGTCGCTACCCCCATATGTGCATATACATTCGAACTCAAAAGCGGCAATTTTAAACTCGGTGCGGCACAGCCATAAAACAGCAAGGCCAACGTTGGATTCGTCAGACTTCCGAGTGAGATTAGTGATTATTCTCGTTGACTTGCGGCAGAAAATTTAAAAAATAATTCAGAAAGTGCCTGCTATACACAAACGAGACGGAAGGAACAGCATGACCTCTGAAGAATCAGCACAGGAGAAATTACCGCTAGACCCTTCGGATCTCCCTTCAGAACATTCTGCGTGTACAACTGTTTGACCTCCTTCTCTAGGCGACTAGGCAGGCCGGGGTACATTGTGCTGCCCCCACTCAGGACAATGTACTTGTAGAACTCCGCCCTCGTATCTATCGGCGCAGACTGGATTGTGCTGAAGAGCATTTCGGAGATGCCTGGACTTTCATTGTCAATGAGGTTCGGTTGGAAAAGCGCCTCCGGCGCTCCAAACTGTTCCCCGCCAACCTTAATCACTCTGCCGTCCGGGAGCTGAAAACATAACATGTGAGAGAATGGGAGTTGGAGGCAAAAAACGAGAGGCGTGAACGTAAGAATGGCAGAGATAAGAAGAGGGAGATACTCCCAAATAACACCAAAGAAGCAACGATTCAGAATGAGAGATTTTGCATGTACAGAAAATAATGGCATACATCCTAGTAAACTGAGTTAGTCATTCTTATGTGTCTTACTGGGGACCTTGGCAAAAAATGTCTATAAATTGGTAGTAATTCGAAAAGAAAAAGTTGCATTCCAGCATGACTAAAAAATACGGTGACCTGATGATAGGCCTTAATTGAATAGGCTCGATAGATACGTGAAATCCATTGGCAGTCGTCCTTACCGATCTGATTGGACTGTACAGACGTTCAGTCTTACCACGGAGCTCTAGTAGACTCCTTGATAGCGGTCGCATTGGCACAGGCGAGCAATAATTGAGATGTACTGCTGGCTAACACAATGAGAACCACGGTAGTTATGCTAACCTAGCATTTTTGGTGAGACCGTGTCGTTGAATTCGTATCGGCGTGACCGGAGGTCCAAGGCAAAGCGGAGTCAACTGCCTACCGCCCCGTAACTGGGACGGATCGGAGAACCTCCGTCTTACATGACTGGGATTATTTGCAGTAACGGTTGAGAGAACGTGAGCTAGTGTTTGGATGAGGGAAATGTTGACCTAAGGGCACCTGACAAGAGATCTCGAGTTCGAATTTCTGGCCCGGGGTTGGGCATGAGTGGCTGAGGATGGCTAGGAAGGACCACTCGTCTGTCAATTGTGCTTCTCGGTGGCACTTTCGGACTATGAAGTTGTCTAATGACACGTATGAGAACCGAGACGAGAGTTGCACTATGGGGGGGGGGCAATGAAGGACACGAAAGTGACTGTGAGTTACCGTATACTTCTTAACCAGCACGGTGGTGTCGAGTGCAAGACTCTGCTCCTGTTGCAAGTCGTATGCTACGTAGCAGAGCTTTTCTTTCATTTGCCTGATTGTTTCAAAGTCAGCCGTCTGGTTAAAGGCATAGCCGCGAAGAAGCAACAGCTAAAAGAGAGGAAAAGTAATTGGTATTATTATTATCATCGTCATCAACACCACCACCGCCGTCGCCACCACGACCACTACTATCATCATCTGGAAACGTAAACAAGCGATAAAAAACTCGTAAATTTATGTGGAGAATAATGGTTAAAAACAATCTAGGGAAGACTGAGCATCAAACGATATGAAGTGCACTTCTTTTGGCTTTGGGCAAAACACATACTATCTAATGAGTAGTCCAATTTATGCCTTTCCAGCAAATTGATAAAATAAAATGTATTCAGCCCTACCGAGATCAGAAGCAAAGCCCTACAGGGGATGCAATTTCACCTGGATGTTCGGCAGACTTAACGAAGAAATGCAATACAGGTCATTTGAGGCAAAACTCCCACTTCGCACAGTTAAGACTGAAATGGCAACACTCGAGGCCGCTGTACTCAAAACTAGTTGACAATAGCCCTCCCCAAAAAATTTGGTTCAAACAACTCAGGGAAAGAAGTGTGTTGATAATCTCACACTCTGAGAGGCCCGCCTGATCACTGGGACAAAAGCTTCGTTAGCCTGGCGTCTCAACCCCCGACTGACAAGAAGTAATTCCGGGTGTACGCGATTAGCGTAATAATTATTTGGCCAGTCATAGTGAAATCATTAGGTGCCGAACCTTCATCAACAGCGTTGGAAATTGGCATTCGGACATGAACCCGCATAACCAAACCAATAGGGCTCTACTTTAAACGACCGAGTATATTTCTCCCCAGGTACTACCTGGAACTCGCTTATTCGCATGAGCTGGTCGCCTCGCAGTTGCACACATGGTTCACCTGCCATGCGCGATCTCCTTCGGAAACCAACCGTTTTGAAGAATGCTTTTGTAAGTAACGCACATTGGTGACGAGTTAACACCTTGCATCCGATCACCCCGCGCTCATTTTTTTTATAATTATGTGCTGCGCATGGTAAGTCGCAGCGTTTTATGAGCCCGGGTCATACGTAGATAGTTACACTTTGTAAAAAGGCAAAATACAATCCTTTATATTTCAATCGACCCTTATTTGCCATCACTTTAGCATTAGAGTCATAATTCGTCTTCACTGTTGCTGCTTTTGTTTTTGCGGTGGGAGCATGTAGAGTGCGCTAATACCATTAATCCATAAGGATAAGGTTATCTTATTCAGGCATCAAGTTGGAATGTCAAAAACTGAGACGTATACAGTCAGTAGTTAACTACTTAAACTAAAACTATAAACTATAAACGATATACTTATACGCATTTTCAAACATATACTCAGCGAGGATAGGATACTAACTACGGCGAGGTGAGACAGGCCTCTTAGAAACGCCTTCACGGTTACGGAGGGAGTAAAAAGCCAGTAAATGTAAAACAAAAGAGTCCAGTAAAACAAGCCTCGAGACTGAAATGACGGTACCTTGATGAGATAGCGAGTAATATCGCGACCAGCGACGTCCAAACGTTTCGTTAAGTGGGTCATGGTGTGGCCGGAGTAGACAGGGCAAATGTGCGTGACACCATCACCAGAGTCAACAACGACTCCCGTCATCAAGCCTGAGGTACAAAAGAGGAGTTTCAGGAGATGATAAGGCTCTGATGAAGTTAGGAAACACTTTGCACAAACGGACTGATTTAACGATTCCATGCATTCTCGCCACAACGTTTTGCAGGTCATCACAGCTTGGACACGAGCTGGGCGGTACCGTCAGCTTGGCCAAAATCCGTCAGCCGGCGCCACGGTTCGGATTCGACACAGAGAATTCATTCAGTGGCGGTACAGGGGACAGAATGTAAACTTGTCGAACGCGAGACTGACTATTGAACGACCGGGAAGGAGTGATGAGGGCCAGAACTCGCGCAATAGAGCAACGGCGAGACATAACCACAGCGACTATTTTTGCCGGAATACCTCTAACTAAATTACGCAACATGGAGACTTGCAACGAAAAAATGCAAACATTTGGTAGAATCAACAAGACAGACGGCCGTCGGTCGCTGGTATTCATGGCGGAATACACAAATGCGCTGCAATGTTAATATTAGGTCGGTGGGGCATGCCAAGTTCAGAAGCCCGCTTTGCAGAGTCTCGTTCTAAAGTCATGCGCACCATGAAATTGCATGGAAAAAAGCTCTGCAACAATGTTGGTGAGATTTCCGTTGCGAGATTTTCCTCGCCTTAAGTCTCCTTACTAGCAGACACATGGACGGCCTGGTAACAGTCATCGGGGACGAACCCACCTCTCCACACCTTCTCAATCCCCTCAAGGTACCAGTGCATTCGAATATCGACAAAGGACTTAGAATTCGTACCAGTCGGTATTAGACGTAGGCGTATAGACAGCTACGGCACATATATTTATAGTGTCCCTTCAGTTGTACTTAAGTTAGTAAGTCATTGATTGCCCCTTCCCCCCAGACAAGCAATGTGTGGTTGGCCTGTTGAGAGGTGATCGCTACATTGTGTCTATCAAAAGAGCCCCATGGGTTGCTATGATGCAGGCTTGGGTGGGGTCCTGGTTTACCGAGGGGCCGAGGTGGGAGTTTAGAACTCAAACAGGTTGCAGACATCCACGTTGTACTGATGGGGACTCCACATCGTTAGAATTTTGGTACCAGGGTCGAAAACCGTCCGCACACTCCCGTATCCAACACCAAGGCTCAGTTGTCGAAAGAATAGCACATTTTGCTTGCTGTTCACCCGTAGCATTGAACCGGGGCCGTGGAACGTGTTGGTTCCTTTAGACGCCATGGCATGGATAGTAATGTCGTGTTCGGACATTATACATGTAGATCATTTTAGCACAGGCGGGTTCTCGGAAGTAGGAGGCATTTTTTGCTTAAGGGTGCCTATCTTAGCGTTTTGCCTCACGAACCTGACCGACAGGCGGCGGTGGGAAGTGAACTTTTTCGGCGACGGCTAACGTTCGCCACGTCAGAGTACCAAAGTCAGGCTTTATGTTATCGTATAGAGTAGTCGGCGTGCAGCAATGTTGCTGCTGGGTGGCAACTGCTTTCGACAAAACTCGGTTCACTATCTTTCAGCAGCGGAGGCTTGAGGTATATGGGAGGTAGGCCAACGGATAAGCCCGTCAACTGTGCGGCCGGTTTCGAGGCATTACGAGCGGGAAAAAAGATAACTTACTCTTGGACATTTCGCGATGAAAACTTCAGGATCAGTTACCGCATTTAGTAGTACTTTTGGCTAAGATGTGGAAGTTTCTTTATTTGCCGTCCAAGAAAGTTCGTACAATCCTGATGTGGTTGATTTAACCATGCCGTAAGAGCACTGTTGGTGCCTCGTTTCCTCCTACAGCCATGCGGAATTGTTCAATTGTGGCT